AAATCTGAACTTTCAAAGCAATACAATGCAACTATTGACTGTAAATCCGATTTTGAATGGTCTCAACTTCAAATTGGAATCTATCAAAAATGGATTGATATTGAACAACAACAGAAAGGCAAACAACTATCAGAACTTGAACAAGAATTGAAACAAGTTGTATCTAATCTTAATATTCTACATAAATCTTATGCAGAATTAGAGCGAACAGCTAAAAATCAGTATGTAGAACGTGATAACCTATTTACACAATATTTAACATTGACACATAATTGGTGCAATCAAAAAGCAAAACGAAAGAAATACGATCAAAGTATGGAATTATTGAAGAATAATATCGCATTTTATAAAAATTTATCCGCATATATTGCACGGTTTGTATATTCAAATTTATCTTTACTCTTACAGCTGATGAATATAATTCTATTTAGATATACCGAATCATTACCGACTCAATCGAACGATGAGGTACAATATTGGGCGGGGGAATATGATAAATCTATTAAGAAGATACATCATGATTTTGAATTATTTTATGCAAACATTTATCGTGATTTGACTTCGTATTATGAAATGCAAATGGAAGAAGTACGCAAAGAAGTTGAACAAACAAAGCACGAGCAACGTCTTGAAACTGAAGAATTTGTATTAAGTCAACAAGCACTTGAAAAAGAATATGAAAAAGTACAATATAGTTTAACTCATGAAAAAGAAGTTTTACACAAACTAGAATCTGTATATTGTACGTAAAATTGAATATTTATTTTTCATTTTGTTTTTTTCGTTCTAAAAGCTAAATTAGAAGCAGAATTGAAATCATTAGAAATTCAACATGAAGATAAACTTGAATTACAATCGAAAGAAATACATCATTATCAAGAAAGTATAATGACAATCGCTTTCGATATCAATGAAATGCAGTCTAGGTTAGAGCAAAAAAAATATTACGAATGAATTTTCTTCTTCTTCTTCTAGTAAAATTAATTTGGAAACTGAAATTATTATTTATCGATATATATTGAATGCTTTTGAAAATGAAGAACAAGTAACAATTGTTCCTCATAAATCGACAGTTGCAAATGAAACAATAGGAAAATTCATTGCTAAAGGACGAAAAAAACATTCAATTGGTATTAGTAAGTGTATAGAATTGAAATAAAAATTAAGAAAAAGAAGATTATTAATTATTTCTTTGTTGTAGAAGAATGTGCTGCTAATGGTAAATATATTAGTTTGTTAAATTATTCAACAACTGATGTTATCGATATTTCGAAATGGATATTGAAACAACGTACTGATTCTGCATCAGAAATTCAATATATAATACCTGATGGTGTTGTACTGAGACAAGGAATAGAATTAAGAATCTATTCAAAACTTGGCAGTGCCAATGCTGATAGATCTTCGAATGAAAATACTCTTTCTCGATTGGTGAATAATAATGTGACTTCATGGGGTATGTAAATAAAAAATCGAATGAAATGAATTTTATTTATTTTTATTAATATCATTTAGGTGTAGGGAATACGATTGAAATACATCTGTTTAATCAATATGGTGAAAAGCAAGCATCTTATTTAGAATCGATTGAAGCTCGAGCAACCAATATATAATAAATACTCACAAATGAACTATATTAGCATTTTATTTTTATTTTAGAAAAACTAACGAACAAAATAATTTAGTTTTTAGTATCTTGATTTAGTTATGTAATAATAATAATAAATAGATATTCGAGCGTATGGTGGTTTCCATCAATAGATCATAAAAATAGTATTCTTGTGGAGAAAAATTAGAAACTAATTCATTATGTACCAATAACATCCGTTGAAGTCTGTATTGAACAGTTCTATATAGCTCTTTTATGATGGATTGAACTGTCAATTTTTCTATAAAATATTCAGTAACTATATTTATTAATAAAGATCTTTCTTGCTTCTCTCACAAACTTATTCTAGCTTTAATACGTCACTTTTGTTTGAAAGAATTTAAAGAATAAACGAATCTTTTTCTTTTAATTATTTGATTTTTAAGTAAAGAACACTAACCGGAAAGTCCAATGACTAGTAATATCCCAAGATAGGTATCTATATATATATAATGAAATTAAAGTTTAATCTTAAAAAAGAATTCTATTATAATCTCCATCTTAATATTCTTTTTTAAATACAAAAAAACCAAAATTCATAGAATGTGGTAGAATAGAGAAATGTGAGATGCATGATTGAAAAAGTATAAAAGGAACAAAATGTCTTGTTTTATTAGAAGTAGTTGAAAACAATCATCAAAAATGTTGCATTTATCTTAGTTTTACTTGTTGTTTTTACAGGAAAATATACCTTGAACATTGATATGGTTATCTACAGGAATATAAGTGTAACAATTTGATGTGAATTTTATATACACTCATCTACATTCGAAATTGTATTTTCTAACAATTAAATTATGAAGAATATATTCTACAAAATGATCTTTTAACGATTGCTATACATCATACTACAATATCTGTTTAGTTAAAACTATATAATACATTTAACTATGATTATAAACAGTATATATATCAGTAAAAGCTATAGTCAAATGTACATTTCATAGTTTCTACTACTGGAATAATTGAGTTTGACAAAAATAGATGAACCGCCTTTTTATAACAATGAATTTAATGACAAAACAAAGCGTAAGAAAATTTGAATCAATGAAAACTGAATTAAGATATACGTCTGAAAAGTAATGACTAAATTAGTTTTTTATTAAAATTATTTTTGAATGTAATACTATTAGAAGTTTTTTTCTCAAAATTCTATTAGAGCCTTATTTGGTCAGCATGGCCTCAGCATAGTTATACAAGTTCTGATAGTCTGATTGTATTTAAGTAAAATAGAAATCGTAGATGGATTGTAATAGAAAAATATTGCATTTTATGCATAAACACACAGTTCACAACAAGAAAACGAAGAACAATCATATTAATGTTTAATGAACAAACCAGTTCACAGGAATAAAATAAGTATACGTTTATTTTTCGTCAAATGACACTCTCTTCTTCAATTTCATCACTAGAGTGAGTATTACCAGATGATTTTGGAACCATTGTTTTTGGTGAATGAAAAACCCGTGTTCTATCAAAATAAACGTCACTTTCAGTTAGAGTAGTAACATTTTCTGCAGCTTCTAGGACTTCATTAGATGAAGTTCCTAGATAATAAAATTGAAACACTATTTTATTGTATCGATGAAAACATTTATAGCTATACCTGTTGTAGTTGCTTGTTCATGAACTAGATGTGTTCCATTTGAAAGACTATTATCTTGAGCATTAGTATGAACATCACCATTTACTAATAAATCTGCACCTAAACATATAATATCTTTGTAATCAAACAAAAGTAGAAAAATAGAAATTAGTGAGCAAACCTGTATTCGGATCATCATCAGATATTTCACCTTCATCATCGCTATTAATACTACTTTCACAGCTATGATACGTACAGTCTAAATTTATAATATTCTTGGTATATACAAATATCAAATGATAAAAACTTACCATCATCACTACTATCACTAGAAGGAATGTTATCTTGAGATTCAACTGAACGGATAGGATTCATATTACCTTTTAAATATTAAGTTAATTTGATTAAATTCTATTAATAACATAGTATTAACCTTACATGTTAGATCATCGGTAGCATTTTCAGATACATCATATTCATCAGGTATATCATGATCAATGAGATCTAAACATTTATAAGAAATAGAATTTAGTAAAAAAATATTCAAAATACATACTATTCTGTATATCTAGAAGAATAAAGTTACCATTTTCGTTGTTTAAAACAGGTTCTATATCTAGAACATCATAAACATTGACGCGCATATCATCTCCATATGCATTTATGTATTCAGCATCCGTTAATTCAACACCTAGGATAAGAACCGTGAAAATATAATGAATAAACGATTTATTAAAAACTTCTTACGCATAGTAGTTAAAGAAAATGTTATAAATTCAACCGTCGGATCTATAAGACAGAACAAAAACATTCAATCATTGACCAATTCATAGCTATAAAATACTACTTACGAGCAGTGCGACCTTCTGATTCTGCATCTTGATATACTAACGTGTCATCTGAAATAAAAAATAAATAGTATAAAAATTAGACAACAAAGACTCTTACAAGGATATGGTAATTCTGAGTATCCTGGTTGAGTTTCATGAGATTCTATATCATATTGTTTGTCGTATGTTCCAAATAAATCAGTAATAATATAGTTTTTTGAGAATATTAATAAATGCAAAAACTGATTGATATATCGATGAAAGAAGATAAATATCCACCAAAAAAGAGATATTATTATTTCTTTAAAATAATCTCGTGGATACACAATAAGTGTATTGATTTGTTGAGCTAAAACATCAATAATTAAAAAACGAATGTATTCTTTCAATAAAGTATTACCTGTCATGTCGTGTGGATCAATAGTTCTTTCATCTGTAGCTTCTTCTGGCAGACCTGTGTATGTAAAAAAGATTAAGTTGAGAGATTTTTTACTTTACATGTATTGACTCTTACGAACTAATTGTCCCATATTTGTTATTGTTGAATTATATTCATTTTCTACACCTTAGAAATAAGTTAAATAATAAAAGTCGATATTACATTATATATTATGTTAATTTGTTATATTTACCTAATTGTTGATTTTCATTATCATTATTATTAATTGGTAAGTTATGCTGATTTGGCATTTTGGCATCAAAATAATCAGGTTTTTTTTATAATATCACAATAGTCTAGAATATCAGTTAAGCAAACCTAATTGATGTTCGAAGTGGAGTCACAATATATAGACAATAAAAACAATACGAATACTTTCTAGTTCTACACCCTTGTTAACAGAAAACATCTATAAATGATCGCTTTGAATGCATGTAAACATACTCTGTCTTCAAAATGCTAATGTTTATTATACATTTTTGACTATGCGTCGATATTTATTTATAGAAGTTTCAAATTTTTCTTTGATAATAGTATTTTGTATGACAGATACGTTATATATAGGAGCTGTCTATCCTAAATTTCAAGGTCTGTTAATTTTTGCTCCTTTCTTCTTTTTCTTTTCTATGACTTTATGACTTGTAATCTGTATCTTTTTGACGGTAGCTTTGACAACAAAAGTGACATACGAAAGATTGAAAGGAAAGAAACATGTGAGTTATCAAGTAATCATACTCTACATTCATGCTTCTACGTATCTTTATATAGGTGAGTAATATGTATATTTTACTATAACTATAACGCACATTCAGAAAGATGATCATATTTATGCACAGAATAAACACTTAAAATAAAATGTATTAATCAGACATAAATTAAAAGATTTTTCACCATGATAAATATCAGTAGTGATCTATTGGTGAAACAAATAATAGTAATCGTTACAAGCATTGAACAACTTCATGTTTGCACATTGACCTTACATGCTATACTCTAACTATTCGTACAGATTATAGACAATAAATATATAAATGTGAAGATCTTGTAATTTCTTTGTGAAACTCACTTCATCTCCATAAATTTGAAAAAGATGTATTTCAGAAGTTACTGTGTGTTGCACAGGTAGAATTAGTTTCCAATTTTAAAAATAATGACATAGATAAATATAAAATATAAAATATCATACTATTCGTATATAAAAATGTACCGAACTATTTGTAATAATTTTAAACAAAATTCGAACATTCGATTTGTATTATTTCTTATTGTATAAAGTAATCATTTCACATCGTATTATCCTGTAGCTTTTAAAAAATACACTGGGTACACTATTCTATCATATTCTGAACTTTTTTAGACCATATTTAGCAGTTGTATTCGATAAATATTTGCTTATACGTCAGAATCTTGAGATACTTTCGACAATTGTTACTAACTATGCAAATTTTGAGAACCTTAATAATAAAGATGTCCATGTGGTTAAACAAGATTTGCGCCATAAGTTATCACTGAAGTCTGCACAGTACTGTATATAAAAGTAAATGGATTAACTGATTAAGCCTTATGAGTTTACTTAGATTATTAGTACTCATACAAGTATCGCTAATAAACAATATCTACTCCATTTGATGATGTTAAATATTGAAAAAATGAGACTAATAATTTCAAGGTCAATATAAATATTAATATATATTCTTCTCATATAAAGGAAAAAGAAAACAATGTAGATTAAGATTGTTGCTATGAAATGTTATAATTCTAACTATTATATAAAAGAACGACGAAATACTAAAATATTTTGTGTCTCTGATTATTTCATAGATACTTTCATATCATGGTTACGTTTTTCAAACCTTGATAGTTGAAAGAAAAAAAGAGTCGAGAGAACGCATGTATTTTATGAGCTATAAAATAAAAAAAAAGAGATCATATTCTATACCTACAATCTACCAGATAATACATACATTTTAACCATCTACAATATAAACAACTTTCAATAAATAAAAACAATGAATAAAATAAAACATATCGATATATAGATATTATATGAAAATTCTATTTTTAAATTTTAATAGTATCAGTCGGACTAGAGTCATACAAAATTCAATAACAAGATTTATCGAAATTAAGATGAAAGTCTATAGGAATATCTATTACTTCTGTTAAATAAACTTTCTTATTTGATGTCTTATTTGTAACATATCTCTAAATGTCATAGAATGTTTTTTTTTGTATTAAAAACCTTTGACGGTGTGTAAAATCTATTCGAAATATATTATGATATATGCTGATAATGTACAACTATCTGTATCACAGATAACACTAATTGTTTTTATAATATAAATAACTAAAATTAGAATCTGTCGATTTCTATTGCTCACAATGAAAAAGAGTATTTGCTGAACAGTGCTGTCACATTACTTTCAAAGTAGGATAATAAACTAACCTGAGATACCAAATACCCCTTTGAATAAAATGTAAAGTATTAATCTTGTGAGTGATGAGTATGATGGTCTGAAAATGTAAAAGAGTTCAAGATATAAAAAATAAGTCTGCCAAAAAAACATCTTTAATTTATATATAGATATAGTTTCTCTTTTTCTCGATATTTTTCACTCTTTGTCGCTGTATTACCCATACCTTTCTCTTTTTTTCACTCTTTATCGCTGTACTACGCATACCTTTCTCTTTGTCGCTGTATTACGCGTACCTTTCTCTTTTTTTCACTCTTTGTCGCTGTATTACGTGTGCCTCTCTCTTTTCCCTTTTCTCTTTTTCTCTTTCGATCAACAGTTTTCTCATACGTTTGTGGTTCCTCATTCTTGTAGTTTTTTTTACATCTGTGCTCGTTTCTCTTTTTTTTTGCGTACACATCTTTCGCTTTTCTCCTGTAAAGAATAGTTTTTCATTGTAAGTTTTACTTTTCTCTCCTTTATCGCTTTGCGTCATGAAGAAACGATACATATTTTTAAGAGAAAAAATTAGATTTTTTTCATTCCTACTGATTATTTATTTCCGTTGACTTTATGCAAACTACTATTTAAAGAAATTTTTGTATTAATATTCAAAATAGTTATAGAGATCATTAATAGTCCAACAGTAATACATATAAATTATTTATTCGATATAATCGAAACTATATTCATAGTACCTTTGCACAAAAAATTGCAATAAAACTATCTTTTCATGCTCTTTAAAAATATGTTTTTGTTGTCAATATTACAGTTAGCTAACAGTTTGAGATAATTTCGATATATGTTTTAGTTGCGTTATAATCAGATATAGATACATTTTAGTATTTGTTTTTATTCATATATCAAAGATGTAAATCATTTAATTTTCAGTCCTATATCTGAAATCATATGAAATGTGGTACAAATTTACTAATTGTTTATTTCTACTGGAAAACATAAAAATATTTTGTTTTAAATAGAAGGAAATACAACATACCTGTTATATTTTGAACCTGTTGCTATTATTAATATTTTCATATTAATACTAATTGAATACAAATAGAAAAAAATGAATAACTGTTTTATAGGAAACAGCGATATATATGTATATAAATAAATAAATAGTTTATGATTATAACATATTCTCATGCTCTTTTTCATTAGTTGCTCAAGAGAATAAACTGAGATAAAGTTCTTGAAGACACTTATATATATAGTGATGTCAATGTGTAACGCTGTAAATAAATACTAATATAAGCTATGCTATTGTCTTAAGTGTTTTTTTATAAAGATGACGTATTAAATATTTTTTATCTTATTATTACATTTAATTACTTATCAGTACTTGAATATTTCACTGTCATTTTGTTTTAGAATTTTAATACATGTCCTTGTTAAACATATGGCAAATAACATTCTTACTGTTTGTTATCTTCTTCAAAGAAGATAATAAAACTTTATGTTGTAAGATAAAAAGATTCTTGTTTGTTTTTACAAATGCATACTAGAAAAGTCTTTGTAAAACTATGTAGTCGTCATTACAATGCACTCGTCGATCAAAAGGTATCGTGTTGTTATTATAAGTTTTCTAGTAGATGAAATTTCGAATACAAGAGAATTTACGAAAGTCAAATAAAGCAGCAACACTATTGAAGAAAAAGATTTGTGAATCATTACTCAAAGATATATTTTAAATGGGTGTAGGTGGAGTAGTTTAAAACTAAAGTAAAATTTAATACTCGTAATGAATTAACTAGATTTACACTACTGAAATAAATTGAAAAAGATATTTAATTTCTATACTAGGTATTTATATGTGTAATCATTAAATTTTATTAATATAACCAAGAAAAAATAACAATACTGTTTATATGACAAATTTACTCTTAATCAAACATAAACAACAACAAAATAAATATCTGATACAGAAAAATTAATGAAAATGACTGTTTCATAGAAAAGAATTTAATGATGGACAATTTCGACGTGTATGACCTTAGGAAAAAAAAATAATATAATAGGATTGTAAATTATGAAAACTATGTTATTACCGGTCCCTTTACAAAGTCCACATTTTCGTTGCTTTCCCTCTTCATCATTATCTGAACTTCGTCGTTTACGAGATGCAGGTGGTTGATTATTTCCACCTTGTCGTTGACCACCACCACCGCCATGATTCGATGTTGTCCTAAAATCAAATAAATATTTATCATGCAATATAAAAAAATGATATAATCATACTCGTCTTTCCAAGCAAAAAAATTACAATTATCGTTATTTCCACATCGAAAAAATGCTCGACCTTTATTTGGACCATCTAAAAAAAAAGAGAATAATCTTTTAAAAATCTAATTTTTAAACAAATAAATTACCCTTTTTCACCACCAGTTCTTTAGCATCAACATCACAATTACATTTTGTTATGCCACTATTACTAGCCGTCGTCGGGCGAGTTTGTTCTTGTTGTAAAGGTCTAAATAAATGAATAGATATTAAATTAAATATCATCATCATTTACCTAGCAGGTCGGTTTGTTTGTTGAGGTCTAATTTAAAAATAGAATAAAAAATAGAATACTTTAATCGAATAAAATTACCTAGTTGATGTATTATTATTATTATTACGTGAAGCTTGTGCAGGTCTAAAGAAATATTTTTCAATAGACAAATCGATATATTCAAAGAATTACCTATGAGCTGGTGGTGGTTGGTTTCGATTCGTTCGATCTCCAAAAGGTCCAGATGGTGGTGGACGTGGAGGAGGTGGTGGTGGTGGATTTGTTCCCGGAGCACCAAAATATTTACTCATTGAATCGTCAAGTTTTTGAATTTGTGCCGCAGTAACAATAAATACTTGTCGATATTTATCAATTTGATCTCGAAGTACCTCTATTTAAAAAAACATAAAAAGTTTTGATTAGAAACAACGTTTAGTATTACCAGCTGGATCAGCTCTTCCTTCACAAATACTAAATATAAAATAATTTTCTAAAATAAATCTTCATATATTTTTATACAACATACGCTTTCAGTTGGCTTTCGAGTTCTGCACGAAGATATGGTTTAGATAATGCATGACCCATTTTATCGTAACCTTCACATAAACCAAGTCCTAAGTTTTCTGGTTCAAATCTTCGTTCTGAATTCATTTTTGCATAAAGACGTTCTTGAATTTTCGATATATGTTCAGCATGTGTTGCATCGGTACCTTAATAAATTTTATTATTCTATAGTATTAGAATCAAATACAAATAGTTACCAATGCCATGTTTTTCCATTAAAGAAATTAAATCAGCTTCAGTTAATAATTGTGGTGCTGTTGTTTCACCTTGAACCATTTCAATTTTACTTGGATAAAATGTTTGATTTAATTGATAATGTGGTAATTCCTTTAAATATAATTTTTTTTGATTATTTAAACAAAATTATTCTACTTACTTTCTCGGACCATTTATCATAAATATAAACATCAAGATAATTTCTTTCACGAATTATTAAACCAGATGCATGAAACTAAATGATAATAAATATTATATGGAATTCTAATAATATGAAATATATACTTTTTCATTTGCAATATCAATTTTAATTGTTGTTTCATCACCTTGAGCATCTTTTGATACACAAGCAAGAAAATGTCGAACAACTAATTCATATAATTTATTTTCTTCTTCCTATAAATTTAAAAATGTTCATATAAACAAAAAAAAAGAATGCTTACTGTTAATTGTCCATCAGGATAACGTGTTGGATGAATGGGAGGATGGGCTTTATCAGTATTTTTACCATTACGTGGGTGAGGACCATTTTCAAGTACACGTTGTGCAAATGCTCCCCAACGTTGATCACCGATTTGATTTTGAATAAGTGGATTAAGATTAATTTCCGATGGAAATATATTTGTTTCAGTACGTGGATAACTAATTAAACCTTTCATATATAATTTTTCAGCAATTTCCATTGTCTTTTTACCAGTCATACGTAATTTTCTACTAGCAAGTTTTTCCATTTCCTAAAAAAACACAAAAATTTTATCTAAATTTGTTTTTCATTCAACGTACAACTGTATCAAGTGCAGCAGGTCGCCATTTTGATTTATTTTTTGATTTAATATCCATAACTTTAGCTAATGGTTCATCCATAATCATATCATAAATCATTAAACATGGTTGATGTTCAAATAATCGATTACGTTCCCATGTAAATTCACAAAATTCTCCATTTTCAGTTTGATGTTCAACTGCTATTTTCCAAAATGGTTCACGTATAAAATTTTCTCGTTGTAAATAACGTTCAACAACA